GGAATTTTACAAGAATAGACTGAAATATTACGGCAGTTTATGAATAATTCGATGCTTAGTTGGACTCGGTCTCATAGCATAACATTCATTGTAAATGCACATTAAAAACTGATGAAACCAAGAAAAAGTGTAACGGTTTAATAAAACGAACATATGAATGAGAACAATAAAATTTCCTCAAGATGATATACAGGAAGATATTGCAAAATACTGAGAAACTAGTGAAGGAATCTGAAAAAAAGTCATTTCGTATGAGTAGTCATTCCGTTTTTCATTGTTCTACGTATGCCGAAAACTGGGATCTGTAGAATTCCGTACAATAATTATTAAAAAAGGCTATTTATAATTCACATATATCGCTTTGCATCGAAAAAGTAAACCTCCAAAAAAAAAAAAAAATCTAGCAATACGTTCTCCATTTTCCTTCATTTTCAGATATTAAGAAATGCTTTAGAATTTCATTGGAAACTATTCCAGACATTTAGTACAAAATATTCCTGCATCTGAAAATTAAAAAAATAGAAAACAGTTTCAAAATCATCACACTGTAACGATCTTAAAACGACCTGAACACATATATAATAATAGTTTTGACTAGTTTGCATGCAAGCTCTTTTTCATTAAAGTGTTACTTTTGTTAACGTTTGCACCTTCAAAATATTTATAAGGCTAATTTCAAAATTCCGAAATCACCGAACGTCCAGTATATGACGCAGCAAAGCAGTATTATGAGGAATTTAGTGCAAAGAAATATGAGATATTGGTAATAAACGAACAAGTGATGAAAACATTATTATAGTTTTTCTAGCTACTGAAATTATTATCCGTTTCACGTATCTCATGTCTTTGCTTACTATCACTACAGTCTTTATCATATTCAGCGGAACAGTTTTCTACATAATCTCCTGCAAAAGCATACAAATAATGAAAAAAGCATATTCACTTGAATCTTGCCTCTTTAAAAATTTCTCAAATTAATATACAAGAATTTGAGGAGGAATTTATAACTGATTCTGTTAAATGTAATGATCCACTTTTTTTCGAAGTGTGGTCTTCTACAATGTTATGGAGAATGTAAGAGAAAAAAAAACCAGCCAATATTGTCTCGTCCAATGTCGTTTGTTTCGTTCCCTTTCTTTAGCGTAATCAAAGTTTTCACGATAGTTTCTTCATCACTCCTTTTTATTTGCTCCCGAAATAGAGATTTTCCAAGTTCATTGATATTGCCTAGCTTAAGGTAATCTCTTTAATGTTTAATAACACTTTCATCAATAATTTGACGGAAGAGACTTGGCATAGAATTTGTTGTCCAAAAACCATAATAAAATAAAATATCGTTAGCAGAAGCTACAATAGAAGCTCAGCTTACGATTAAAAAACCTTTCTTGTTTGCCACAATGTTAGGCATAACCAGACTTGCAAGAAAAAAGCAATCAACCCGTTCTTTTATCGCTTACTCTTCTGTATTATCCGTGTTCACGAAACCAATTTATGCCTCGTATTAGCAAATTCTCAAATTTAAAAGTTCTTCAGAGTTAAACTTATATACTTGATGATACTCGAAATACTTTAATGCAAATAGAATCAGATGAATTTTGAATATATACCGGAGGACGAAATCTAATCAATGGTTCTGTCCGATTCTTATAAAATTGTTTTAAGTCATTGTCCAGCTTCGAATTAATTCTAAACAAATCACTTCAATTTTAGGTTTAAAGTTTTAATGAATGCAAAGACTTCTGTGCATTAAATAAAATGATTTGCAAATGAATATTTCTTTAATTTTATTATCAGGCTACAGAACAAAGAATACCTTTGCCAAGTGATTCCCGCATCAGTCATTATGAAATTACACTGAGAAGGCATCATCAATCTCATTATATTCCAAAAGGGACTTAACAATATCGAGTTATGGATTCGATATATTGGCCTTACTATTGCTTCCTTCAACATTTGTTACAGTGTACTCGTCAATATTTAGAAAGATATACTGATTTTATGTGTTTTTTTTTCGCTATTTCAATCTACCAAAGTGCATAATAAATTTCGGTTGTTAAATTTCATTATATCATCTTATCAGAAATAGTTTTAGATGTGTCAGAAGGCTCAAATGCATTCAAACATGACACCATTTGAATATGAAATCTGTTAATTAAGCTTACCATGAGCAAGTTACCTCCAATGCCATGACAGCGTGCATTATATTTTGTTTTTAAACAAAGGAAATAACACTGTACGATCCTGAAATATGACGAATAGCGATTCGGACATGGAATTACACTGCTCTCTTTCATCGGATCTTTCAGTGTGTTAGAGGATCTTCAATCTGAATCTCTCTTCGAACAACAACATCAATTTAACCCTACTACAGTATGATTATCTTTAATCCCGGGAAATTATATGAAGAAAATTGAAAATGCATTTCTATTATGAACTTCTAAATTGAAAAAATGATACATGGTAAGAATAATCACTTAATTTGCATCTGGAAAAATCCCGATAATTTAAAATGAATGCATATGCACAAAGACTGACGAGCAAGCTTCAGAAGTAATTTTACGAAGGAAGCCAATATTAACACGTGGCGGTGCGCCATTTTCTTCGGTATGAAGAAGCGTAGTGGATTGCATTATCGAATAAATGAACCACCCAGCCATCAATTTATGAGCTTTACACTTCTGCTCACAATCTGTAAAATCTTGATTTAACTGTGACTGAATTAAGAAAACCCATTTCAAGAAACTGGTCATAAAATTAACCGTTTTATTAAATCAACCTGAAAATCCAAAAATGGTATATCGAACCTTTGGTAACAATTTGTGTATGTAGATCCATACATTCCATCAAGTCTCGAAAAGCTTCAATAAATTTTAAAAATAAATATATGAGTGACGAAATATATATAGAAGACATTATCAGAAATGCTACGTTGGTAACTCCTTGGTAACTTCATGAAAGACCTACAAATCAAAAAATATGTTGAAAAAAAAGAACCGGCAGGGTGTTCGATGCACATATACTCAAAGCCATCCATAAATATACGAAACAAATAATTCGGCTGACACTTCTTTATACGATCCATACATTCATATACTTCGCTAAGTTTCCTAAAATAATTATTTCCAATAACTTTAAAAAGTGTCGTTATTCATTACAATTCTCATAAACAACTCTTACTCGCATGTATTCACTAAACGTTCGTAGTTGTTTCCAGAAACAAAGTTTGCTCGTAGCGTAAGGAGAAAAGGTTTCAAACAGCCTGAAGTGAGCAAACAAAATTGATACAAACAAAAACAGCAAAAGCACGGGAATGCATTTGAATACATTTATTTATTTCACCTTCTGCGCAATTCTGATCAAACTCAAGCATTCTTGCAAGATCATTGGTTGAATACTTCTCTAAATCTGATGCTTCTAAAGAATCCTTATTTCCTCCTGCAAACTTTAATTGTTGTTTAGGAAGGTAAAACAATCATTGTACATATTATTGCACTGGTCACTCAAAACAGCAAATTCATTCACCATTTACTCCTTGTTGCGTGGCGGGAAATATCAGAAGAAATAAGGCAACATTATGAATGTACATTTCTTTTCTTTTTCTTCTTCACGTGTCTAAAGTTTTCATAAAGCAGAATTAATACAACTGCAATTAAGAACTGATAGGAATAACATTATATGATAAAATATAAGGAAAAAGGCGATGATAGTGGAATCCGGCGCTGGCAATCTTCCTTCTTTTCTCTCAAATCTATTTTTTAAAAATGGAAACTCAATTATATACACTGGTGACAGTTACAAGATAACTTACTATGCAGTTCACCAACAGTTTGGAAAAATTTTTAAATTGTGAAAGTTTCGAAGCAACGGTTAAGTCTTACAAGCACAAAATTAATAGATTTGACCTGGACCAAAAATGATGATCAACAAATCGATAGAGTCAATGATGATCACACATTAACAGGTTGAATACTAACCGCCTTTTATTACATTCCGGAACATTCTTTGTGATGATATCTATGGAGTAAGAATTTGGTAGATATTTACTGCATAGTGGATCATGGAGCAAAATTTCATTCACTTAGTTGTACACAATTATAATTCTAATACCTTTTCCACATACAACCAGTCACCAATCAATTAAACTGTTGCATCTTTTCATCATATTATTTTTAATGAAACCATCACTCCCCCAACTTATGTCTCCTGATGTTTCACTTCCAAAATAAGTTTAGTGTGCGGTATCAGGATTATGAATAGGGTATGATCCACATATATGTTTGACATATTTGAATACTGTGACTAACATCCAGAATAATGATGAATATCAGATCATTTTTATTTATAGAAAAAAGGCTTGATTAACAATCAGGTACATTATACTGCATGAGCAACTCCTCTGAACATCAACACGAATAAGAATTTCAGACAAGATTACGTAGTAGACTTACAAAAATCATGGAGAAACAGTGCCAAAGAAGAACTAAGGGAAGTAGTTGATAAAACAATATGTTAGTAGAGTAGCAAGTAGTATGCTAATAAATGGCAGATTAATTACCTCTGTTACTGGACGAAAAGGCAAACAATCGATATACAATTGAAACAAATGCACTGTACAGATATGTGGGATTTAGGTGCTAACAATTATAGTTAACAAGAAAAATGAAGATATCGCACTGAATTAACATGTAATGAATTGTAAACATGAATCGCCTTCTTCAGTAAGGCCAACATTTGAGGATTTACTTCTGCGTTATATGTACTGTTTACAATTCTTGAAAATATTGTATATCTAAATTGTATAAAAGCTTCCAATACAAAGAGGAATAATAAAGTATGACAAAATCACATTTCATTGCCAAAAATCTTTATATTTACAGTGAGAATAAAAGACATAACCAAAAAAAAGACAGTCCGTAACAAAAGAGAGTACTGCATAAATACTTAATCTAGAAGATCTTCAAAATACTATCAAAAGCATTGCCTATAACTAACAAAAATGTTTAAATTTTGGCAGTATTACTTTGCTCCATTGTTTTCCATATATTTAGAGCCTTTTTAGCATTTCCAGATTGAATTGGTGAAATTTCTAAATCACGACGATATCGCCATCCCATTTGAACTTTTTTTTCTTTATTCACTCGTGTTTCTAACTGCAGTTTAAGCCAACCAAAACTGAAGTTCTCTTGGTTTTTTAAGTCGGTTATCTGTAACGGTATTTAATTTATGGTATTGTAGTGGGAAACAGCAATAAAACAAACCGATATATCCTTATTATTTTGACAAATAAGTACTTTTTTCCCAGAAGTTAATGAAAGCACAAAATTAAAAACACACATTACAAACAAAATAATCAGTTTCATATTATCAAAAGGATGAGTAGCATACTATCCAGAAACATAGACTGATTATTTAGAGTTCAATATATAAATCATTAATATATAAAGATGAAAAATCTTGTTTGCTTCGGGACAAATGAACAAAGAAAGCGAAAGGAACGAACCGAAATGTTACGCTGAGATCTATTCTTTTGGTTGGCGAAAACTGCTTGATCATCAACGGCTTTTCGGCATGTACATATCGACTTCACTTTCTCTTTATCTTCTGCCAAATTGATTTCTGATTTTATTCTTATCAATAAATTTTCAGAGCAACTATTTTTTTGAGGAACTTTTCGTTTTGCTGCGTCATGTGTTCGAGTTCTGGAGCTGGGAAAAGCTCGTACTGACTTCCCAATACTTGAGACAGTATCCTGAATCGATTGCAATGCTCTATCTTGAATCTTGCTTTTGTTTTCTTCGACCGATTTCATTTGCTTTGCTTTAAGTAGCAAGTGAGAGCTGTCAGATGTCACAACCAATTCCGTTAAGGCAGTGTCTTTCTTCAATTTTCCGACGCTTTCTTTCATTTTTTTCTCATCCGAAAGATTTCGATGTTCAATAAGCTCTTCAGCTCTTTTTGATTGTACTAAGTTCTGTACAGCTTCTTTTAAGTCAAGATTCTTGTCAATTTCAATCTTGTTTTTCCTTCGCTTAAGCACATTTTGGTTTTTAACTTCTTTCTTTGTAGTACATCTTCCTTCTGAAAGATGTGGCTGCGAAGATAAAGCTTTCTTTTCATTGACAACTAAAATTTGTTTATCACTACTACATTTTGTATTTTTCGGCTTTTTTAATGTGGTACTTAAGGAATTCAATGAAGAATCGTTCTGTGATTTATTCAGATTCATCCAGCTTTTTGCTCCTCTACTTATAGAAAAATTGGAATCATCCTGAGTTACTGCCTTCTGATGTGGTGTCAATAAAGCCTGAATTTGCACCGCCTCAATCAGAGTAACATTTCCCGCTAGTTCTTCAATCCCTCCTGCCGTTTCCTGATTAATCGTAAATTCTATCATATGTTTTCTCTGCTTTGTTTCATTTCCCATACGACTAGTTTTTGCTATTGTCATAGTGTCCGTACTTCGCTCTTCATGGATCTGATTAGGTTTTTTGACGGCGCTTAATTCTGAAGACGTCCTTGCCAATCCTGTCCCTTTCTCATTTTCTAATGCAGGATTTATTTCTGTTTTTCTTCCTGTGAAGTCAATTTCTTTTATTTCTACTTTATTTTGTTCGGCCATATTTACTCTTTGATCTGGAAGGTCTTTATTATCCTCTTCTTGCTTCACAGCTGCAATTTCTTTCGTGTCGACTTGTTTTCGATCTGCAGAACCACGTCGATGAAGTTCAATCAAATTTTCCATTCGTTTTTTCTCCTCTTCCGGTGCTCGAAAAAGTTTTACACAGCTGGCATCATTTTCATGAGCTACAACAAATGATGATTTTCTGGATGAAGATTTTTCCACATCTCTAAACGTTCTTACTGGACGGGAAGGTCGACGCTCGAAACGCCTTTTTTCCTGTTCAGCTTTTTCAGTGAACATTGACAGTATAGCAGCTACAGAACTGCCTTTTTTATTGATTTCACTGAGCTTATTTACTGAACTGTTATGGCGTGTAGATTCTTGCGTTGTTCGATTAGCAGAGGAAACACAATATTTTTTCGGTCTCTCCTCCATTTCTACCTCATTTTTAATTGTATGAACTAATTCGGAAATTAGAGGACGTATGTGAGCACTTTCCGCAGCATATATAGGTTTTGGAAATTCAGTAAAAGAAATAGAAGACTTGGTTGTTTCCAACGTGATGCATACTTCGCACATCGTTGAAATAATTTTTTTTGAATCACTTACTTCGCTGCATTTAGAAATTGTCTCAGTGGACTTTTTCATTTGTCCTTGTAATCCGCGCGATGCAGTTTTTAAGTGCTTGGAAACCTTTTTTGGCTTACAGGATATTTCGTCTGATTTCTCACAATTTTTCTCTTTGTGCTTCTTTGCTTCCTTTTTCATCTTTCCTTCATCATTTGGTTTTGGCTTTTTCCTTCCCTCATCAGTTGTACTTGGTTTTGGTTTCTTTTTTGGAATCTCGCTGCTTAACTTCTTTTTCTATAAATAATCTTTTTCACTACTTGCTGAGAAGCTCTCAAAATATATATTTTTTGAAAAAACTAAAAGTTTACCTCTAGATGTTTTGTTGCAATTACTGACTCTACTCTGGAAGTATCATAAGCCTCTCTCACTGCCGCAGAAATGTCAGTTAACAATTTCTCAGATTTTTCACCATCCTTTGCTGGTTTTGCTGATACGGAGGCGCTAGCTTCTGCTTTCGCGCAGCTTTTCATAATGTTTCCTATGGAAACAGGAAGACTGTCATATATTTCGGAGATGGCAGAAGGAACTTCTCGTCCCCCGAAGTTCATCAGTGTTTGTCGTTTGAATCGGATCAAAAAAACCAACGCCCAAGTTGCCTTCTGAAAAGATCACAGCAGCAAATAAATAGATTAACTAGATGTCCTGTGAGGATTGCATTTTCTTATTCAAATTTAATGGCTTAAAAACTGATAAAGAGTCAAACAAAAAATAAAGTAAAAAATCTACTTGTAGTTTCTTTATGATCAAGTAAAATGAACTTACAGAATAAAATATATATTTCATTCAGATGAAGTAAGAGATGCTTGAAAAAAAGTTTAAAGGAAGGATGTTATTTCGACTAATTCAAGCAATTTCTAGAATATCATGAAGTTGAAAGGTATGGAAGTCGAGTTCCTTCCTCATAACAGAATTTCATCTCGGGTGGAAGATGAAATATTTCTAGATGACACTCAGCATTTCATTTCAGTACTTCTTTGAATCTTTTCTCGGCCGATAAAATATCAAAGGAAATAATTGTTACTTACCCTAAAGCGTTTATTTTTGAGATATGACTTCAACCCTTCCTTCGATAGCGGAGTACTACCGTTCAGTTGATTTATTAACAGATCATTTGCTGCTTTTGTTCGGCTGTCAACAATCCATGGATGATTCAAACAATCCTCCGGAAGCATCCTTCGCCTGTTATATTTGAATATAAATAAAGAACATTGCAGGTTATTTTTAAAGCAACCTTTAATAATTCTCTGACTCCAAAAGAAGAGAATAAAAACCAAAACAAACTTCTGGTCCATTATGAGAAGTTTGGATATGAAGTCTTTGGCAGCATCGGAAATTCCTTCGAATGCTTCATCGTCGAATTCCCATTCTCCTTTTTCAACAGCTACATAAGTGTCACCTAGAGTTTCACCCAAAAATGGTGAGATCCCTGACAATCTGCAATACCTTTGTTTGATACCAATTAAAAAACTAGATATCAATTCTTTTAGTCTTCCAAGAATTTAAAGTGCTCTGATAACATATTACTCAACAAATAATGAAAAGTATAAACTCAAGAGCATTTCAACACATATGCTAACTATGATGAACAACATTTCAATCTAACAAAATATAAGTGATGACGCCAATGCTCCACATGTCGGTGTAGAAATCGATAGGCTCAAATTTGATCACTTCCGGAGCAACAAATTCTGGAGTTCCGGCCATAAATAATAGATTCGACGAACCGTCATAAAACTGAGCGAGGCCAAAATCAATGATTTTTATGCGGTTACCCGTTTGCGAAACACACATGATATTTTCCGGCTAAAAGTATTGTTTGCTATTAACAGATATCAGACATTAAATATTTGGCAGGTATGACAGATACCAGTATTTCTTATTTGTATTTCTTATCACAACCAAAGACCAGTTCTGAATATGGAATTTTCATCATATGGAGTATCATAATGAAGTCAATACCATTATGGTTATACCTTTATTGAGGATGCTGAAATATCTCAAATGTAAGATGAAACCTGAAGTTTTGCATGGCATCATTTTCAATCAGATGGCAATGAAAATTTATCAGCTAATCATAAATAGCTAATGAACCTAAAAATAACCTTTATGTCCAGATGAACAATATTTTTGCTATGAATATAGCTAATTGCTTCACATAGTTGACAAATAATCATTACAACCGCCAACTCTGTTAGAATATAGTTCTCATCAACAACTCGGTCAAATAGTTCACCGCCGCTCACTCTAAATTCATCCACGTTATACGAATTATGAGAATGGAGAATGAAGTAAGATGATGGTTAGTAATATCGACGAACTTACATTTCCATAACCAGTACAACATCGTTCTCAGGTGTAGCAAAAGCATCATAAATTTGCGCTATTCGGGGATGTCTCAATTTCGTCATAATGGCTACCTAAATTGTTTTATAAATCAACCGATAAGGAAAGGCTTAGCACATTTTTAAACTTGACTTACTTAATTTACTATCCATTATTATTACAACGAACCTCTCGTTCCACTTTCTCTCGATCCGTTTCACGTTTTATTTTGATACGTTTTGCTGCAAGCACAAATCCTGTTGCTTTTTCACGACATCGATATACTTTTCCAAACTTTCCCCTGAACAAATACTCATTTGATAAAGCATCTTGAGGCGTAATATTTGCAACATTATTCGCAACGTTTAGAATACCAGAATAAATACAGAACACAGAATCAGTGCAATACAACACAACCTAGCACTACACTCTAATGTTACAATATATCGAAAAAATATTAACTCTCCAATTTCATTCATGCAGTCGTAATATTTTGAAAACTTTTCATTGGCTCGTATCCGAACAATGTCCTTGATTTCAAATGGAAGCTGTTCATCATCCACTACAACAAAATTGAAGGGGACTTGATAAATTTCATAAAATAGTATGAGTTTGAGACGACGAATGACACTCACATAGTATTATGTCTTTAGCTATCAAGAATACATAGTTAATATTTGAGCGAAATAAACTAGAAGAAATGGAAAATGAGATCTTCTAAACTAACCTCCTTGATAATCCGATTCGTCAACTAATATACGACCTTCATCGCCGCTAGTACCAGCTGGTAAGGCTGTGAAAATGACCATCGTTGTCAACTGCGTTTAAAAATACATGTTATGCAACATAATCATCAAAAAGTAAATAAAATGATGATTTATATGGTATATGATTTAACATCAATAAATTTCTGCTTTAAGTGAGCTCGTAAAATTCAGAATTTTCCAAAGTGACATAAAAATTAAACTCACTGTTTGAAATTCGCAAGCTGTGACAAATATTTTTATTTCCCGGAATTCAAAAATCAGTAAATAAAATAAAGGAAAAATTTCCAATAAATAAAAGCTTGTTTAATAAAGCATACCTCGCTCTTCTTATTAAAATGTCTCTACATTCTTTTAATGCTATATTCTAAAAATATGTTGATGTAGATAATAATAAATAAAAAAGCACCATGTGTTTAACAGCACAAATAATCTCGTTTTATCAATTTTAGAATAAATGCTGTGAAGTGCATAAAAACTAATTCAACCTATTTTGCAAAAGTTGCCTATCATCTGCGGTTTAAAAGGAATAGTCAAATCACTTGAACAACTTCAAATTTTTATGTTGAATAATGTTGCATCTTACAAAATAGCAAGGCCGGACTGCTCAACTAAGTAGTAATAAGAACAAAATGGGAAGATTTTGAATTAAAGATATTCATGAAGTTGATGGTAATAATCAAATTGATTTGACTGCTTTTCAAGATAGAAACATGATTGAACATATGAAACAGAATAAAACAACTGTTCGGCTTTCAAGTGTAATAGAATGCAGTCTGTTGCAAAAGCTCAAAGCAAAAATTTTGAAAAATGTGAAAGAACACAACTAATATTGAAAGCTAAAGGGTCATCAATGTTTTCCACATACTCAAATTAAATCACCGCGGGTTGACTTGCAATTTAGGACATCATGTATTCAGAAAGATACCAATGTGTTGTTGGTGGTGCAATAACAATAACTAAAAGACTTCTAATCGTGACAAATCTTGTATTTTAGCTGAAATCTAATTATCGAATCACTTAACACTTATTCTACAATGTTTAATTCTTAACATTATATTTTCAGATATAAAACAGAAAAGCTGTAACTAAAACTAAAAAATAATAATAATAGTTCCAACATTTATGAGGTTCGTTTCCACAGAAAAACTGAGAAAACAAAGCTCATCATCGTATTATAAGTAGATAGATAATTTTAGATCGAAGCAGTAAGACAAATGACAAGTTTGTTCATCTCTTTCTCCACAGCTTTTATCTTTTAAATTCAGAGACGTTTGTTTTTTGAAATTAAAACTTTTTTTTTTTTAAATTTACTATTTTCCGGTATAAAATGTCATTGCTATCCAAATTTCGACTGCTTAAGCATGTTCTGTAACACCACAGCACTTATTTCCTCTCTAAATTTAATATCGATGGCTTTCTTAACAAATTTTTTATTCTTAAGCTATTTTTAAATAGAGCTAAGCAGCAAAAATTTCACGGAAAGTTAAGGTAAAAAAATATTCCAGCTTACATAATTTTATTAAAATATTGCTTAAAAATTCAAAGAATTGAAAAGCTGCAGGGTAAAAGGAAGTCAAATATGGGAATGCGCCAAGAATAACAAGAATCACCATGAGATGCATTTAGACTCAAATCAGCTTGAGGAAGAAACAAGAGATAAATTAAATGACGTGATTTCAGACTTGAAAGTGAGAAAAAGTGAATAATGGGATGAAGGAAACTGGAATCCAACAACAGTGATATGAGATAGGAGGACTAATAAGTTGCGCAATGTATCGACCAGATAGAACATATTAGTGAGAGGGTGTAATAACTGTAAATGTGAAAGATGAAGATTAGCCTCACAAGTTGCGGCTACCTAAGTGGAAGGTGTGAGGAGGATATGTTTAACTTGATTAGAGTGTTAGGAGTATGCAACGGGAAGTAGGTGTTGTATGATAAGTTGGAGCAGTTGTGCGCTGTAACACACATCTTCAGGAATCTGTCAGATACTAACCACTGTATCCATCCTGCCGTTGTTCAAAACATAAAGCGGTTACTGCAGCGCTAATCGCTACTCCCTTCTCTACACCACACAACTCCATCCGCGCCACACTCACTTGGAATGTAGCTTCGCTTAGCATTTCTAAATTCCTTTCGTTTTTCATCAACCAAGCTATTTATTATTTCATTCCCTGCCAAACGTTTAACTCATCCACCGATTGTTAGATCAAATTGATCAAACTAAGTCAATAGTTATCATAACATTGCAATATGAAGAATGTATCATTTATTATTTACTGTTAAATACGAATTTTCAAAACAAAAATGGCCTATGGTTTTGTTGTTTAGTGATAAACTCTTCCATCAGTACTATAGCACTTTCAGCAACTGGTTTGAATTTCAAAAGTGACACCACAGCAACAATAAGTCGTAACATATAACGTATAAAAAGCACACAACAGATAACGTTGATTAAGCAATTCGTCGAAATCAGCAGTCAATGTTAGTTCTTATACATCAGTTACCAGAGAAGCCCTAAAAACCTTTTGTCATTCATCTCCTTTTTGATCACTGAAATGATAGAAACTAGAGCAAAATCAAATTTTCTAAGCTCATATTGGACTATTTAGGCATATAATAAGCAAGTTTGGCCAATTTGTTTCGGCATTTCCAGCTTTTGGATCTGTACTTGCTTGTTCATCTTTATTTTTCACACTTTTGACTCATCTTGTGCCTCAAAAACAATAATGAAGGGCCTGGAACCAGAATTTAAACCTTGAACAAAATATTGTTGATTCTTTTAGTAACATCGTCATGTATAGATTTCAGTAAAGAAAGAAACAGATCTGTACAAGATTCACGTGTTTTCGGTTTTACGATGCCGCTTTCATTGCATTATATACTCATTTGATGCCTCAATATCAGAAACATATTTGTTATGTTTTTATGGAAAGTAATTTAAAAAAGACAAAGATAAAGTCTGGATGGCTGAAACTTTTTTTTCAAAGTCATACAGTCATAACAGGTGATAATATCAAATAGCCGAATTGTAGCGAAATGTACCTTATATGCTAATCTAATAGATGTGTAGCGAAACATTAGTATCTTTAAAGTGCAAAGAGTTATATCTCTAAAAGCATTAACAAATGAACAAATGATTCGAAGGTTGTGAATGAAAAAAGGGTACGCAACGAGACTTTCATATTAAATTTTAAAATCTCTGCCATGTTGCTACTGATATCGCAATTTTTCAGTGGTTAATTCATTAAGTCGTTTTCGCTAAAAGTTCAACTCCTGAGAACATAAAGAATGGCCTTCTCTTATTTAAAATCAGTAAGCTGGTTTTAAGTGTATACCATAAAATAAATCACAAATTTTTTACAATTTCAGAAACGAAACTGCAGGTTCTCTCCTGTGCTTCCTCTCCCGTTTTCAGCACTTCCTCATGCGTCACCATAACTGCATTCTCATGATCTAGGTTTGCTCTGCAAATTCCTTCATTTAATATTCCTTTTCTTACAAGGAAGCCTTCATTTAAAACCACTACTGTTAACAGACAAAAACTTTTGCCTTTGCTTTCAATGAGGTGAAATATTTGCTTAGATGAAACTTGCTGTTTATGATGACATATTATAAACACACATATTAGTAATAAGTGAACAGCCGAAAACTCGCATTCCCATTTGACATGCAACAACTACTTCATGGCATGTTGACATTCCTGAAAGAATATAATATCATTTACCTGCTTTAAAAGCTTCTAAATTACCTTTAAGATGAAAGGATAACATAGAAGACACCTACCAATAGCATCTGTTCCTAACATCTTCAACATCCGTAACTCGGCAGGAGATTCAAATTGCGGACCTCCATTCATTGCATAAACACCTTCATGAATTCGTATTTTTTGCCGTCTAGCTACATCTATAGCTAATTTTCTAAAAAGGAGATCTTTTTACACTCGTGTTATATAACTGCATTTCATGGCAACAAACCTTTATGTTGCAACATCTGTATAAAATGTGGCACAGTAAAAGTATAAACTGAAAATGGAAATAAGGACCTGAGTTTCGGATCGTAAGCTTCATGAAGGGAAACAAAACGTTCGCCAAATCGTTGATCATGTAAACCAACAAAAGGTGAAAATCCAGCTAAGCCAGGGAAAAATATATGGTCTTTGATTATCATCAGGTCGCCCACTTTGAAATTTGAGTTCAACCCACCAGCTGCATTTGATACAATTAGTGTTTCCACTCCTAATAAATGTAGTATTCGTACTGGCATTGCACACTGCAAATATATCTGACGTCACACTTAAACTCTGCAAAGTTTTATTGTATAGAACTTGCATCTCCTATTTATTTTTTGGCTTGTTTTTAAAATATATCACTTCTCATTATTTTGAACACGTTGAAATATGTTGAATTATACTTCAAGTTGCAGTTGTAAATTTACCATTTTAAATGATAATGAAATATATGACTAACCAGTGCCAAGTCCATTCCATATTCGTATGGATGAAATCTACCCTGCATACAAATAACATATTTTCCGTTTATGTAGCCGAACACTAAATTACTTTTGTGGCCGATAACTGCAATTTTCCAGTAATTTTAACTTATTTCAAGCAAGTAAATCAAAAAACTAGTGAAAAATGGAAATGATTTAAATACTTCCATTTAAAATTTCTTACCATGTGAGATTGGGAAGCCAGGAATCTTGGTGTAGGATAATATTTCTGCTTGTTCAATAAAGTCTGCAATGCTGCCCAAACCAGAACCGCATATGATGCCTATCTTTGGTACCTCTTTCAGCTGTATTTGTTTCAGAATTGACTTTGCTATTTCAGACAGATCATCATAACTTTTTGGGCTGCAAGATATTTAATAATAATTGATTGTTAGAAAACATACAGTTATGGATTCCTCCCGTGAAATGTCTTGATAAATAATCCTGGAACATACATATTTAAGAACTTACTTAATAACCTTGCCGTTGTCATATAATTGCATAGATGTTGACATTTCTTTGAAAATATGAAAGTCCGTTTATTCCTGAAAATCAAATCTTTATGAAGTGAACAAAAGACAGAGTTTTATGTGAAGTACCTGTGCAGCGTTGAAAAACAAAAGGAAGAAAGGGCAATAACATTGATCAGGAAAAGTGATCAGGAAGTATAAATGACAAGACTCACCGGAAAAAGTTAACATGCTTACGTGGGAATAAATGATTCTAGACAGAATTCAAAAGAGCTAATAAGACTACTTGCACAGTTAGATTACACCAAGAGTGCAATGTAAGCAATTAAAAATTGCCATATAGTTCCGTAATATATGTCTCCAACTTACACTTTTTTCATTTTTTGTTGAATCATTCCCGCCTCTCATCAGATAATTCTAGGAGGCTCATGCACGAAAAAAGAAATCGCTCTAGTTTACTGACAGATAAACTTATGTTTGAGCATTTTAAATTTTCAGATTGTTTTCGACAATACGATATCACCTACATCTTTAAATAAAAATGTTAATGCAATAATGACACCAAAATAGTTTTCAAATCTTCCTCAAACAGCATTTAATTTGGGGCAGAAACTTTTGGGTAAGATATATTTGTAAGTTAATTTTGTTTGTAAAAATGTTTGTAAGTTAAAATTTCAACTGCAAATGGTGAAGATGTGCTCAAAAATGTCACAGGAGAAGGGCAAGAGTAAGCAATGTGACATGTATGCCCTTTATCACCAATTCTTAAAACTGGGCGCGTGAACCCAAACATTAATCGATCATTTACCATAACTACTTTCTTGTCCAATCATCGTCGCTTTAACCAATCATTTTTTACTCTGAAACTTCACTACCATTTTTGTGCTTTATTTGCTCATAAAACGTATTGCATGTATAGAAGCACTACATTCGATGCATAATCGTCCGTTCTGTCTCTTAATTCTAACTCACTTTTACTTCTTACTTGATTTAATGACAATAAACAAATTCCAGTATTTACTTTCAAAGGTTTGATCCTCTAAAGTTCATTTTTCGCACTTCTCCACCACTCTTTCTCATTTATTATGACTGCAAAAAGTATTGATTGTTATTATGCATCATCGTCAGAATCACAGACATCATTCAGCCTTTCATGTATTTCTTTGAATAGAACGAAACGGTGAATTATGCCAAGCACAGCTATTGTAGATCTATTATTTCAAACTAATCTTTTTTCTTAGTTACCCTAAATATGTCCTTAAATTTTCATCTGCGAACTAACCACACTATTTTTTCCTGGAATAGTATGCAGCAATGATGTTTATAAGTTCACTCAGGCATCGGTTTCATGCCAGCGATGTAATCAGCCTCCAATAGACTTCCTTAATTTTTGTTTCTTCATATGAAATATTGAAAACTGGTGCGGAACAATCGGTTCGACGAAATTCTTACCGCACACCGTTACAGTCTGCAAGCTACAATTGTTCTTCGCTAATTGTCCTCCTACTTCAAATAAATATAACTTTAATAGCTTTAACAAGCCTGAAACTAAAGATCGTCGCTTGGTGCTTTACAATGCGTTGCAAATGAAACTTTAGACACGTGACATTCGCGGATAACAATACTTGCAGTAAGCAATTATATTTTTTACACCTAATTTCCCGAATAATTTTCATGTAGTATCTATCAGAATATAGTCCGAAAACGCACAAAGAAAAATCATAGGTTTTTTTGCCTTGAAAGAAATGCTTTTTTAGAATTATATGAAATGAAGTGCATCAGTGAAAAAGCAATGAAAGGGAAAATGATGGAAAATTCTATAACTTCTTCTCGCACCTCAATCCAAATCTGCGTTTGTTGACTTGATGAAATATCAACTGAATATTTTATATTTTTGAATCAAGCATTTTTTTGTTTTTGGACGTACAGCTATGTCGGAATAAATTGTAAACTTTTTTTGAAACATATAAATTATTTCTCGAACATAAAGAACTGAGCAAACATCTTTCATCTTAACTAAATTTGTACAGTATTTATCGTCACTAACCGTCCCGAATGAAAAAAATCAAAGTACATTCAGTCACAGTATCCAAGGACATCTTCTCTCATCGCTGATTTTTTATGGAATGATCGATGAATATACTGACATGCAAGTAGACAAAAAGTTTTAATACACACTATAATTTCAAAAATAAAACACAAACGATATATAAGTACACAGTTATAATTTTCCTACAATGGCGGTTAATGAATATTAAATCCACGGTAGGAAATACAATATAAACAATCTCATAAATAAAATAAAAGGGTTTCGTTGATCTCCGATAAACTTCGCTTATAAGGTTTTGCATAGACTGATCTTTTAACTCTACGATATTTACTATCGGTCTGTTTTTGCACTACAACCTTAGAAACACTAGGAAAACGTTATTTCTCCATTTCCAAGAATTTGCTTACAACCACAACTTCAGATTCCCATCCTTTCTGCGTAACGATGAAAACTAAGTGCTTATCATAATCAAACAGAAGTAATTAGATTTGAACTTGTAAAACAAATTTCTATGCATAAACATAAGGCTGTAATTATAAAACTGTTTCACGGTAGTTATATACACTAGTTAAAAATCTCTGGCGCTCAAATGAAAGGAGATGAACGAAACATCATCGGTGATTTGAAACAGTGGCCCAAGTTTCATCCAGTAGATTATTCCTTGGCATATGGTCAGAGCTTTGCTGTCCTTATGTTCACTTATGACATTTTGTTGCCATATTTCTTATCGTTAAAATTCACTTAGGTGATTGCATGGAGCACACTGAGTAATACTGGAAATGCACTTCCATGTTAATTACTGATATTATTTTCGTACTTAAGGAACTTTGCTCGCACTGAGCATGACCATTTTTCGAAACATCTTCGACAAACTCCTCTTTTATCATTAATTATATTGTTCCGAACCATCACAGGGTGTTTTTCCACGGTACCACAGCAAGCCCAGTACCGCACTCTTCCTGAGTAATTCTAAAAGATTATGCAAAAACATTTTCTGCTCTGATATATACATTAAACTGCGTTACCCGCAAATTATAATACCAAAAACCGAACTCCAAGTTGGACTATAGAGAACAAAAGAACTGAAGTTTTTTGTCCCCGAAAAAAGTTAAGGTCGCAGATGTGTTCTTGATTGGGTAGTAACAGACACCGACCAAAAGTAAATTATTTCAACAAAAATAAAGACTTTTCTCTCCCATAAAGAGTGAATAACACCAAAAAATCCTAATTCTAGTTAACTAAAATTAAAACGAAAGACTAAAAACATAGTCTTCACCAGCAAAGTCAGACGCCACTTCATTAAGAAACTGTTTTTTATTTAGGTAGTATTCATCCAATGATAGTTATATCTCACTTCGTTGTGTTTTCACCATTTAGTGAATAATTTACCCGTCCAAAAATTGGTAAATCAATCTAACTGATGTTTTTCATCCGGAATGTACACTGTTAAGACATTGCTAAATTACCCTAACCAATTAAAAGAAATCCTAAGGGCAGTAAGTAAGCATACAACAAAACCCACAAACTTCTATGCTAGCTTGCATATATAGAGAGAGCTGTTAAGGATTTCTTATATTAGGAAGGAAAATAAGCAAGTGAAGGGCAGGAACAATAAAATTAGGAATACTGATAAATTCTGGATATGAAAACAAAATAAAACGATATGTAAAAAACAGTAAAGGATAACACCACAAGTAATGCGGTCTTAATGTAAAACATAAACTAAATGGAACGATAGGATATCTTAACTAACTTTTCACATAACAAAATTTATCGACAAACCTGGATAGAATTTTGAGATACTTGTAGACCATGAAAAGATGGATCAGCTTGCCAATTTTCCAAAATTTTCAGGAAATCAGATGAATTCAACGAACAAAGTACATCTGGTTTCGAAATCAAAAGTAGTGGAGCCAAGGCGCTTAATTTCTTATTCTTAATAACACGATCACTAATAAGAAAAGTGCTCAGCAAATTCGATAAAGCCTTGGACTGAATCGTAAAATTTGGGTGTTTGCATATCAAATCCCAGATAATATCAATGAACGCAAAAAAACCGCTTCCTTCCTGCTCATTTTTATTATCTGCTGTTGCTTCTGTTTCTTTGGATGGTAAATGAATAAGAATTTCAGTAGCATGAATGAGATCACCAGCCAATAAATGCATGTATATAGCAGGAAGACAGTATACTGGATTCCTAAGAAGCTCAGAAGAAATATCTGAGATCGCGTTTGAATCCATTTTTTTGACAAAATCGATAAAACTACGTCTTCTCACTTCGTCAAAACATGATTCTGAAATTTGAATAACTCACCTTAAACCTTGCAACTAACGCTAAAAAAAAATCATTTCTTTATAACATTAATTTACATACGAAAAATTGAAACAGGGAAAGTAATGCAACTAAGAAAAACCTGTGAGCGAAAACGCAATCAAAGCTGGAAACTTTGTTGGTCGTGGTATGCAAGGACTATCACCGGTCACTTCAATTGTCTTCGAAGGACCTTTAGCAGTTTTGAATACAATTTTACGACTAACTGATGAAGGAACGCCTGATTCAACACCCAAATGACCTTTATAATTTCTCCCCCAGACGTAAATAATGCCTTGAGAGGTTGTGGCAGTCGTAAAATCGTAACCTACAAAAAAATATATAATGTATATATCTTTACTATATCTTTACAACTTCAGAAATAACATAGTTAAGTACAGAATACAAAGTGTCGCATACCACACGAAACGAAATCCCAAGCAGCAGATGGTTCAAACAGCTGATGTGGCTCTTCTTGCTCTTTCTTGTTACCATGACCCAGTTGCATATCCAAACTTTTACCCCATGTATAGAGATTTTTATATTCGTTTATAACAGCTGAATGACTATAACCTGCGTCAATGTGTATTATTCTTCCCTGCACCTGAAGTTATGTAAAGTTACTCTTCAATTGCATTTCGAACGGAAACTTATAAAAAAGCAACATCATTCAGATAAGAGACAAACCATATGTTCCAACTCGGTGACTGTTAAGTGGGAGTTACTGATTGCCAGTTTATTATTTCTTTTCATATTCGTCGAAGTACCTTTATCTGTTTCTACGCGCAATCTTCGTTTAACAAACATTTTCATCTTCAATGCTTGCGGATTAGCACCCCAGCAATAAATTTTCTGCCCTTCGGATACAGCTAAACAGTGGAAATATTTCGAAGCAATCATGAGAACTTTATTCGGCACAGGAACTGCCTCAGGTTCGAAACGCTTTTTTATTTCAGCACCGACACCCAGCTGTCCATATGACCCGTTACCACAAGAATAAACAACGCCTGATTCCATCAAAAACAATGTATGTGCATATCCACAAGCAACTGAAATAACTCGCCCACTGAAACACATACTTATAAGTATGCTTTCCGATATATTTTTTAAACAAAAACTTCATTTCTTTCAACTCTAAACTGAAAACCAAAACACTTGTTCCGAGTGTTAAAGTGAAACTGCAACAATTTAAAAAAAAAAAGTACGGATTCATATAAAAACTACCAATCAATTGTTGAACAATAAGTACAAATCTTAAAACTTACTTCAAAGATTTTACCAAACTCGGAACCAGTTCGTCTGTAAATGAAGAGCGTGTATTAATTCCAAGTTGTCCATAAAACGACCAACCCCAAGTGAAAGCATATCCTTCTTCATTGATTAGTGCCGAATGATAATGTCCAGCACATACTGCACGGGCGCTCCCATAATTATCGACAATTTCCGCTGCCACTGTAATCTCACTTGTATGACCGACACCACACTGACCAAATCTATAAATAACAGAATTCGTTACATTCAACGAAACTTTATTATGAGCTTAAAAACAGCAACAAGAAGTAAATCGGTTTTGTCAGCAAAAAAGAAAAAATCGCATATGAAAAATAAGATTTTATTGTCTAAAAAACCCTGAATTTTAATATCAACATAATACTATTTCGAACCTATTTCGACCAAACGCATAGACTTTCCCATGTATAGTTAAGCAAAGCAAATGTTCGGTGCCGCAAGAAACGCTACAAATTCGAACAGGTAAATCCAGCATACATAAACGAGATGCACGTTGTCCAAGAGATTTTTCACATTCCTTTGACTTTAATGGTCCTGGAGAAAATTCTCCCCAATAACCAATACCTTCCTCAGAAGTCACTACGGCAGTAAAGTTCGATCCACTTGAAATAATGCTATCCGCTTCAGAAGGAAAACGCTGCAACGAATTTTAATTATTGTTTGTTCTTAATAGCTTAAATATATTTTAGTTAACTTTTAACCACGAATGTCCAACAACAAATTTCACATTAACTATACTAAAATTTGTTATATTAAATATTGAAGTGTTACCCACACCAACAAACATTGTAATATAACAAGAGAAATTTAAATAGAAAAAAGTTTTTTTAGAGAGCATTTGAAAAATATGAACTCAGCAATGAAACAAGGATATGGTTCAGCATAGAAAAATAGTCTCTTTACATTAAAAACCTGAAAAACTTACAGTATTGTATGTTGCTTGCATCAGATGCAACAAAGATATCACGTAGAGAACAGCTGCATTATTTTGATAACTGCAAGAAGAATATGACTTCGCAAATACATCTACTCAAATCAAACCTTCGAGCTATTAAGCTAAAACAGAATTTTATAATCAAGCAAAGAAATCGGCTTTATCAAAGAATTACAAACCTTGTCACCTGTTCCACTCCAATCTTAGCAAAAGTAGTGAGATGTGATACAGATTTCAGGTGAGGTACAAATTCCGTCATACGCCGTAAAAGCATTTCACCAACCTCTTTGCTGCATGATTTCCAACAAAGAGATGACAAAATTTTCACAATGAATGAACTACGAACTGCTGACCAATCCTTTCTTGTTCTTGCTAGATATCTTCCCACAATCTCAGCTTTATCTAACGAATTATCAACAACTATAGTAACAGTCGTCCAAAAATCCGCTTCAAGCAACTGTTCCATGCCAGCGTAAACATCTTGATGTTGTATCAAAAATTCGCTGGAATTCCCTTTCGAAAAAACTTATAAGAGATCGAAAACTAATCTTTGTTATCATTATGAAAAATACAAATGAAGAAATTTATCATTACTATAAAATACAAGAAGGTGGTAAACGCTGCAGTTCCAAAATCAAAAGACTTACTTTAAAATGGTTTCAATCTTATCTTTGTCTTGAGGGAAGGCTTTATAACGAGCCATGCAAAGGTTGATCATGTGATGTCTGCCTTTTTCATTTGGATCTTCTGCACATATATCTCTCACCACTTCCACAAGTGCATGTTCAGAACTATTCTTCGTGCACCACTCTATTAAAGTGATAAGATCCATCTGAAAAAGAATCACGTAAAAATCCTGGAAAATAATTCGTTGAGCCAATACTTAATGTTCAAACTTCTATATTTGATATTTGCCAAGTTTGATCAATAGATTTGAAAACGCTTGCAATGATTTTGGCTAGTACTAATGTTTAGAATACTAGACGACAAGGCCACTTACAAGTACTAAGTTTTAAAAAATCCCAACTGAAACTCAAGAAATAATTTGGAACAAATATCACTTTCCAGACCAAAAACCGCAAAAGTGCGTATCATATGCTTACAGATGAATCAAGTGCAAGATTAATCAGTTTATTCAGAATGATTTCTTTGTCCGCAGAATTCTGAATAGTAGGAATAGTATCGTCGAGGACATTTTGAACCAAATCAGCGACATTTATTTCAAATGTTTCAGCTACTAACATGCAAATGTTATAACTGAAGTCGAGTTTCGCGACATAATCAACCAGAACCTCGCGTAAAGACCTAAAACGTTTTATCATCATTTCCACATGGAGCTCTCTAGAATTGTCATAACCACAAAAACACAAAATCCAGAAAGAATATAAATTAAATACTATATAAAAATGTGGTTGCGAGATATAATAGCAAAGAAATAACTTGTTCGGAGATAAAACGATAACATCATGTTCCGTCACAAGCAAACACGAAGGCAGAATATTCTCGCATATAATCGGTATAAAACCCAATATCTTTTCACTTGAAAAATCAAGGATTTTTTCGTAAAAAATCTTTGCAGTACTGAACAAACCCTAAAATGGTACTTAAACTATACAATCATATGAACAATAAAATCGAGATCGCACACCGCATATTGTTTGTGTTATGATGGCTAAAACGTCGCCTGAATTTAATATAACATTGCAAAACTAATCACATATGAAGAAACAAATTAATACAATACGTGGGAACTCACACCGAAGTGAACAGAAACATCATTACCAGAAACTTGATCAGTAATAGCAAATACCACATGCGGAAGAATATGCACCTGCCACGTATTTTCAGGCACGGAGACAAAATTTTTCGCTATTTTCATATCGGCATCGTCGTAGAACTTAATAAAATTATAAATAGTTCTTTTAATAAACAGTGCTGTCATATATTATATACTAAGCTTTTACGATGGTAGACAGATAAACACTTAATAATATTAACAATTTCTGGAAAATTCGTGGCTTACCTTGACAACACAATCTTCAGTGTTAAGCACAGCAAGCAATCCATTGAAGGCAACACTGATCTGAGATGTTTTGTGATACTGTTCTCTTAAATCCCATGGTATAACCTGACCTAACGTTTCACGCAAGCTACGTCCATCAGTTTCCAGTGGCAATATCCACTGTTCACTGGTGAAACCGCTTACCTGAAGCAAACTTTATAAAAATAATAAGACAAATAACTGTCAGCATGACCGACATTAAATTAGGTGAATATTTGCCTGATGCACCCTTAATAAAAAATTTCGGAAAAGGAAAACAAACCAGTAAATGAACATCGCCTTTGCTTGTGTACAAAGCAATATTATGAATGCTTTCCGGTGCTCTTAACATTACGGATACTACCATCATAGTTAAATCAATAATAAAAAGCTGTCCTGCCTATAAAAGAACAAAATAAAACCCTGCCTATAAAAGGACACAAAATAAAAAAAAAGATGAGTTTTGAAAAAAGATAATAATAATACCTTATTTGCATATATTAAGTAAGGACGATTTGAATGATGAGCACTGTAACAGAGTGCAGAAGTTGGTGTACACAAGCATCCTTCTTCCACACCATTAACTTCCAAAATTGAAACGGAATCACTGGCCAAAATATCACATCTACCCCATGGTACGTCCTCAAAGAAGACACATGAGCGAAGAATTTGAAAACTACCTGTACAAATAAAGTCAGCACAGCTTTCCACGTTGTAAAAAGTGATATCTATGTTAATTAAAAGAACAAAAACTTACTAGAATACACCGCAGCGGTACCAATAAAACGCTCCCCTTTAAAAGAATGAATGCTAGACCACTTGCATCAGGAAGAACGCATATGGCAGCAGCCTCATTTACAGTTGAAGCAAATTTTTGTAAATGAGTAACACAGAGTTTGGCGCCACTGTTTCCAACGTTAGAATAAATTAGAACTCCACCTACACAAAAAACATTTATTATTTGATATGCAATAAAAGCAGACCTAATCAAATGAAACAAAATCAATTGTTGAGAAGAAAGCAGTTCCCAGTTCACAAAGGCAAACAATTTTAAGACTCCCACGAATATTCAATTCCCTTATTCTGTAATTTATAATCGGAAAAAAGTCTACAAAGAAGCTATTATGACAAATGAACATTACGATTTACTAAATAAATATGGGCTTATACTTACACTATGCGCATTCGTATTTAAAAAGATTTGCTCAATTTTGCAAAACAAATTCCAAATTTAAATGTATAAAAAGGATACTCAATTCTTACAAGCTTCAGTTAATAACAATTACCGAATACAATTTTAGATTCTGATGCTACCATTAAATTCAAGTCGCCAGTAAAAACCTAAAATGACATGATTACCTCACCTTTAGAAGTTAATAAAGCAGCTAATGTGAAATTCAATTCCGCTAGGAATGACCAATCAATAATTCGCTCATTATCACCCAATTCACATCCCCAATTTTCCCTTTTCCATTTGTAAGACATAACATTGGATGCCTGTAACAACAATGATAATAATAAAGATAATAAAAACAATTAATAATTTATGTGATAATTGACAATGATGACAATAATAATAACAATAATAATAATGTTTCAGAGTGAAGGGCATGATAACCATATGGCATTGCAAAATCGGGATAACCACGATGGAAACATGTCACCCAGTCATAAAGTCATTCCTAGTTTGTTCGTATATCAAATTTTTCACATTTCCAACCATTCCCTTCTAAATCATTTTTTCTATCAAACAACAATATGTAGCTTGAAAGTACAAGTCTCAACCAGACAAACGTCCAAAATGCCTATTGGGTTGAAAATTTCATAGCGGCCAAGAGAAATGGCAGTCGAATTCAATAGAAACCAACCTTTGTTAAGGATACGTGGCGATTGTTGGAGCGATATGAAAATGAATTAGTATTAGGAAGTTGTCATGTCGTGATTGTCGTTGTTTCACTGTTGGTGTATTTATTGCATTCAGTGAAAGCTATGTTACTAACTGCGAAGTATTTGTGTGTGGTATACCAAATCTAGATATTCATCGTATGAATAAAAAGCTTCGTTTGAAAAGAACAAAAGATGAAAGAACAAGAATTAGTTATCAGCACTATATTCTCTACACTTTTCTGAAATAACCGTCTACTTCACTGTACATATATTCTTCTCTATAATGAATTATGGAATAAATCTGTAGGAACTTTTTATAGCCAGTTATTTGATTTAATTTTATTCGAACTGCATGGAACATTAATGTTGAAGTGTTAGTATGTATGGATTATTCTTTTTTTTATCACAATAGGGAAGAAAGTTTTCCCAATATGGAAGGAAGGAATACAAGATGAGTGTGAAATGTGCATTCAACAAGTATTAAGATTTCTAATTAAATGCAAGAATTAGGAAACTATTATTGCTGGGTTAGGAAAATGAAGGTCAGTAGCCCAAACATTACATCATCGTTACTACAGTAATCTGAATATCATCAAAATTTTAGTAGCCCAAATATTACCGATGCCTTTCTTTACTTAGAATCTCCACTGCTTTGGTGTTTTTTCTAACTTTTCCTCTAATTTCAAAGAGTTCTTAATTATTGGAATCTTGTTAAAGCAGGGAAGAATTGTTTTTAAACTGTTAAAGCAATTGAAAAGGAGGTCAAGTCCTTCTTACAGTTTCTTTTAGGAAATACTTTAAACATTTAACTACTTGTGTACTCTACTAATTCATATTTACGGATATTTGGGCATTATCCATTCAAATGGCTCATGTTCCTTATCACACAAGCAACAGTAATATCCCATCGTAAAGTCACAGGAAGTGTGTCTTACCTTTGATTGTCCGGTCATTGCACTATGTGGACGTATAGGTATTCGGCCATTTGCCGTTTATGTCCAACAAATTACTTGCTGCTCATGTCCAGACATTTTATCGCTTACTATTTGATAACGTATCGGCGTGATATTTGCAGACAATGTTTTTGACTAGAAGCGAATATGACCGTGGTGTCAACACTTTTTCGCCTGAAGGTCGACTTTTTCAGGTCGAATATGCAATTGAAGCTGTAAAAGTGGGTTTATTGTGATTCGACTTAAATCTCTATTCTGACTTTGCCTTTTTCGTTTCGTTACATTTTAGTAAACTTTTTTTAGTTAGGTTCAACGAGTATTGGTATTCGTACAATTGAAGGAGTAATTTTGGCCGCAGAAAAGCGTGCTACATCAAAGTTAATGGTGAATGATGCGATTGAAAAGATATCAAAAGTCGACTCACATGTTGGTAAGTTTCTGCGTAGCTGTCACTTGAATAAAACTTGATGTGGAATGGTTTCACGAATTTCTTTTCAGCAGTAACGTTTGCTGGTCTTATTGCCGATTCAAGAACATTGGTGGAGCGAGCACAGATCGAAGCCCAAAACTTCTGGTTCACATATAATCGTAAAATACGAGTTGAGGATGTAACAATGTCAGTTGCTAATCTGGCATTACAGTTTGGCGATGATGACGCAAAGGTCTCACTATTTCCATGTCCTTATTTTTGCAGTCAACCCAACAAAATTTATTTTTGTTTATATAATAAATATTTATATAATAAGTTTCATTAAAATCTTTTGAGGGTGACTGGTTTTGTTTTTCTCTTCGCATTCGCATAGAAGTATATTTCTATCATGCTTTCACTATTTTGTCATACTTTATTTGTTATATCACTGTAGCAGTTTTACTTTTCCTTACAATATTTTCCATTTTATTTTACACAGTTTACTTGGAATACTTTCAATTTAACTAGAAGTTCTCAAAATTCACTTCATAATTTCCTAATATGCTGTTTACTACAAAGTGTGTTTCAGGCGTCTATGTCAAGACCGTTCGGTGTTGCTATGCTTTTTGCCGGAGTTGACCAAGATGGGCCACGGCTGTATGTTTTCATGCCTTTTTATTTTGCTTAATTTGTTTTCATCTTTAATTATAAAGCTTTATTGACATATATGTAATCATACATCCATTTAATTTATAATTAAACATTATAGCCAGATCTCATTAAGGTTTCAATCACATTCAGCAATATTATAATTTCCAGTTTTCATTTGGACCCGTCGGGTACTTTCATCGATTGTTTAGCAAAGTCAATTGGAGCTGCTTCAGATGGAGCGGAACAAACTTTAAAAGAACAATATCATGAGGTATTGTGTTGAGGTTCATCGTTCAATTCTTTTACATCTTACACTTTCTACATCCTATATTAGAATGAGTTTAATGGGTGTAGGATTTATTTTTGTTTATTGAATATTTTTGGAAGCATATTTGACTGTTTCGTTACAGTCGATATCACTGGTGGAGGCTGAAAAGATTGCGCTTTCAATTTTGAAACAAGTAATGGAAGAGAAACTTACAAGTTCTAATGTTGAATTAGTTGCAATAACTCCAATGAAAGACAACAAAGGTTTTTCTTTGTCGTTCCAATATAAACTTTTCTTTGTTAAAAATGGTTATATGTTCTTTATTTTTCCTGAGTCAAATTTTTAGGTCGGCTAACTGGAAGATTTGAACGACTGAGTAAAGAACGACTGGACATCTTAATAGCCGAGTTATGAATTTGCAAAGTCTCAATCTATTTATTTGTTTGACTGGAAGTACCAGACGAATAGTATTTGTTCACAGAAAAATTAGATACTATCCTAATTATGTTGTCCAGAGGTTTTGATTGTTTTACAACTTATAATTTGACTTGAATTTCCAAAGTACCCCATTCTACATCTTAATAAAGATGTTGTCGTATTGACCATACATGGCACTTATTGTATGTTGTTATCTTTACATATGTTTTAATATTGTTAAGTTGTTTTTATTAGTGTTTACTGCTCACTTTTATTTATAGAACTTCAATTTCGATTTCTTTCGATATCGAATTGTGATAATAGATATAGTTTGTATTTCATAAACCTTAATTAGTTTTTACTTTTAAAGTATAAATTTTTGAATGGACTTCCGCACTAAAAGAACAATTTTGAGGGCTTCCGTTATGTATCAAGCAAACAAACAAAAAGATATGTTTTATGCAAGGCACAATAAAATGTCTAACTTCAAAATAACTAGAGCTGACGTGAGAAGTAGCAGAATTAAATTCAAGTAGGACTCAGTTAATGACATTGAGTGAAGTATAAGACTGGGGGGTTGACCATTTTTAATTCTATACTTTGTTAGGCTAATACAGTTATCAGTGTGTAATGTGGGAGTTGTCAGTTATAGTGTGGGATGCCGAAGTGCTGCTGAATTTGGCTAAGTTACAATGAAAATTAAATACACAATGTTCAGTTATGAGAAACTGTCATTGAATAACTGGTAAGAACTGAAAAATTTGATTGAGTTGCAAGGTTTGGAATTTGAAATTTAGCTAACTCGAATTGGTGTAATGTAGAAAATGAGATAGAGGTATTCTGGAGTTATTGGAGGTAGAGGATTAGTGAGGAAAGATTCTCTCAGGAGACGCGAAGTTATCATTCTGGTGATTATACATTTCACTATATTTACAGCTAACTAAATAACATTACTTCTTCGATTAGAAGATGAAAAGCTGCTACATGTAAGATCTAGATATAAAGGAATTTAGCCTTAATACTAATGTATGAATTAAAGTTATGCTGTGTCGCCACATAAAAATTTCTGTAGTGCATCAGTAATATTGTTTGGTATGGCTGAGCGAATCGTAAATGAAAACTGAATGATAAAGACGTTAGTTATCACAGTCTGAACGCATTGGAAGGATGCTATGTATACAGGTGCACTGTATACAACTTAAATGTATGTGTGTTGTGTTTGTGTGGAAAATTTGGCGAAGATCATTTGATGTCGTCCATGAGGAAGAATAAATCACCACAGTCATTATGAATCTCATCGTAATCCGGAGCAAGCGAATAATTCGTTATATCATCATCCAGGGTATAATGAAGTGGACTGAAGCTCACCTGCAATCTTTATTGGTCACAGAAGTTTCATTTATCTGCTATGATTGTCTCAAAGATCGAAAATGTAGCTATATTAGTTTTCAGGGTGCCGTATTTTTCTCGGCTATATTATATATGGATAATAGCTTCTCAACTGTTGCCATTTGATTAAACTTTCTGTGGGTTGTTTCGTCTCAACCTACGCAAGTATTCAGGTTGAAGAAAATTATGGGATGAAATATTTAACTGAGCTTAGTTATTCCCTTGCAATAGGGAACATTTCTATATAGTAAAGCGATGCGATGTGAAGAAATGTTTTACATGGCTAGGAGGAGTAAGTGATTTGCATAGGCTGCTATTTGATAACGATGCTTTAAGGCTGTCATCTGGATAGGTTTGTGTGCTCGAGTCCATTATAAATTTCTCTGCACTTCCCACATTATCATTTATTTTTGTTGGTCGAGGTGATGAGCTGGCATACTGGAACAAACTATAATAAGTATGTAATATAGTTTTGAGCAGTTCAATACAATTACTACTTGGGAAATAATTGTCTCGTAAGCAGTTATACAATTTATTTCATATATAAATTGTAATCCGATCAGCACAAACTTTTAACGATATTTCAGCCGGGTTTCCAAGCATCGGTGGTGAGGATGTCGAAGTTACTGGATTGTCTAGTTTGGCATACACATCACCAAACATTTTATTTAGTAGATTGTCCTCTTTCTGACCTCTTGCTAAAGCTTGCAAGAATTGCAAATTTTCACTCACCGTCCCAGACAGCGTCTGTAAACATTATTCAACATTATTCAAATATCATTATTCAGGTTGGGTTCTACAGCACATTGTTCCCTTTTCAATAAAGAAGCGCCTCTTAAAAAAATTTTTCGAAAAAAACAAAGCTGCGCTTACTCCTTATTTAATTTCAAGACAATAAAATAAGTAGTTTCAAACTAATATCATTAGTGAAGCCAATATTCGTACCATGATTGTAGGTATTAACAAAAGGAGATTGCCAAACCGTGCAGTGGCAGCATAGGTGGGATTCAACTCTTTGATAACATCAAATAGCACTTCTTGGACACGATCACGAAGATCTGACACAACTTGCTGTGCAGCCACCGATAAACCTTTCGCATCTAGAAACCTTTCGTATCATCAAAATATTGAAAACTGATCCAGAAATACAACAAATTATATCAAAAAAACATACTTGGATTTAAAATTATTACTGCTTTGAGTGGTACTACTTCTTCCTCCTTCAGTTTCAGTTTCCTCAAAGGGATTACTAGTTCGTTTAACGTTCTATTGACTACGTCGTCAGATAGCTGACTGAAACAATCTTATATAAATAGCATTCTTACAGTTCATTATTACACACCATCTCTTACAAAATAAGAAAAACAATACTTTGAACAGTAGGCGATATTTAAAGAAAAGAACGAGGAAATTTAAATGATGTGACAGTTAGTGAGGACATCACTTCGTTTGGGTAAATTCGAGTGGAAGATTCCTTGGCACATATGAAAAACCGTATAAGGGGATATCAGTGCTTTGAGCGGTTTTCATTGAAAAATTGAATATAGTCAGAGGTGAATAACATGACTTTACAAGAGCGACCTAAAAAATTAGGCTAGTGTTCTTGATACTAATCTGATTGAAATCGTAAAACTTGGTTGATAGTTAAAAGAATATTTTTCACGATTTTGATAAGATGGAATTAGATAAAATTATTTCTCCGTATCTTAACATCGAATGGATTTGTAACGAGCGATAACAACATTCTAACTAGAAGAATCAGCTAATTGAATTGAACATGTACCTTATCTTCACTATCAGTAATATCAGCTAGTTTGGCTAATGAATCAACCCAATCAACGGCGGCCATCGCTCTGCGATGAGTAATCTGAGGTAGTTCATCTAGTTGAGCCATCCGGTACGGTTCGTATTGAATCTATAATACGGAGTGTGATTGATTTCATTTCAGTTCAATGAGTCATCAACATTCTTATACGATTTATGAATAGTATCTGTCTTCCAATTACATTTGAAAAAATTAGTACCAGAGTTATGAGAAAAGATGAACACTAATATAAAAGCCCCTATTTGATGGATAGCAAAATTGTAACATCTAGTTTTTCTATTTAGTAACGTTTTCGATGAATATTTAAAAGGCAAAAAAAAAAAAATGCGTTACCTTAGTTGATCGGGCATCTAGAATTGGTCTACGTTCAAAAAGTTCCCGAAAAGAAATGGTCTTGAATGAGTGCTTAGTACCACTCCTTGTGCATAATGTTTCATCTGCTTTAACAATTTCCCATTCAATATTCATTAATTGCATTAGCAGCACACGTGATTCCACCGGTAGTTTGCATGACAACTCATCATCTTGCAATCGCATTTGAAAAAAATTACTACCAACATTATGCTAAAAGATAAGCATTAAAGTAAAGCTACTATTTGATGTACCTAGAAAAACTTGGACAATTTAATCGTTCATTATGATTGTTCAATAAAAGACATTTTCAGAATGACTTATTGCAACAGAGATTACAAATAAATACATTTGCAGACGTATTTTCCACCATAAAAATTTCAAAAATAAAATTTAGATAATTTGAAAATTAACAGAAATAAGCAAAAGTGAGAGCGAGCATGGCTACTTAATCTATTTCAAAGCAAATCACAGTGTCTTTTGCTGACGAGTAAAATATAAGGAATTGCAATTTGAATAAAAATACTTGAAAGAACAAAAACTGAAAGATTATGTACCATGTGGCTTATGAGTTCTTCATCGATCAGTCTTTTTCGCAAACGTGGAACTCGTTGTCTACCAGTTAAATCACGGTCAGGTCGCACTGCTGTAATATTATTTTAGTAAAGATTAGAGCTCAACTAACAAGATCATTTTTCACAAATGGTTACAATGAGTAACAAGTTCATCAACTTTTTAACATCATTAAACCTCTTTTATTACTATTTTTTTCTTTTTTTGTAATTCAAAAAAGTCAGCATAAACTGCACCTAAAATGAGCGTTGAAAAATCTCTGTGTCACAGAAATTATTTTATAGCAAGAATACCTTTCGGATCCATTCCAACTTCTAAGCATCGCTGAAAACGACAGTAGCGACAGCTATTTCTCTGATCTAAATAACCTTCTATAGATCAGTATGGAAATATTGCAAACACAAATTATGTACGTCATATGCATCCTACTGCTGTCATACAACTATGTCCAACAACCTACGTAAACAGATTGAAATTTCTTGCAATATCTGTATTAAGGGTACCCGGAAATCACGTTCCTATTCACAGACTCCTTAGAAGGTGAAATGTATCGAATGAAATGTATCAATAAAGAAGTCTGACGACAGATTTGTCTTCTTACATATAGAGACACATTTCATGCAATTCCACCGGGTTATTCGATTAACTGTTCAATCGTGTGCTACCTGGGTTTTCTAAGAGACTCATGTTTACTACCTTCAAACAAATCACTTTGCAAATTCCTTTGATTCATGAAAAAAATGAGAAAAAAAATTCATTTCACCATGTTTTCTTCCATCACTGTTAGAAGAGTTTTGTATTTTTCCTAAATTTCTTGGAAACTAAACAAAAGCATTTTGTCAGATGCCGGACAGCAATGAAAATCGCATATCTATATCTACTGTACAATAATGTATCATATTCTCCTACATTTCGACATTTTTTTCCTTTTTTTATAATCATAAGCTCAACAGCAATTCACATTTATCAACGATGCAGTTATTGCTAAATCGGCATGCATATCGATACTTTCCAGTGAGCGTTCGTCGGAAGAATCCTTTACATCCATAACAAGCCAAGATACCATAGTGCAACTTCGCATGACCATCACCGCAAACTGCACACATTGCATTGTTATCTGTAATAACGTTTACAACTACGTGTGTTTTTATGAAAACGATTAAAGAACTGTAGCTTAATGCAAGAAGATTAAGTGCTGAAAGAGACGAAAGAGAAATGATACCAGTAAGTTTATCCTTGATATCGTAAGAGGAATGTGCGCTGACTGTACTGACTCCGAGCATCACCTCTCTAATCATCGGCATTCTGCAAAGTAAAAACTTATAGCTTTTTAAATCAGCAAAGCGAATAATTTCTGACGGTTTTATATTCTAGCATGTACCTAAAACTTATATCTATCTATATGTATATAAGCTTTAACAGATTTGTGAACTTGTTGAATTAGTTATGTTTTTTCATAACTATTTTATATTAAAACCTTTTTGCTTTATTCAAATGATGCTTTCAAATGGACCAAATTATTCTAAATCATCCAAATACGTCGTTTACTTATAAAAATGATTTTGAAATTGTTGAAGTTATTGTTTGCTTAACAGTTGAAGATTATGTGTGGCACCAACATAGACCTGAAGTAAGGGAACTTTTTTTCTGAACAACGCAGGAATTTTTCAATAATACAAAAATTGACACTACAAATATAAATAAGTTTTGCAATTGCAGTGTTAATTTTAAAAGCAAACAAAAGGAATTCAATTATGCATGTGAAGGAATAGTGAAGGACATTAAGTTATTAGAACAAAATTTCCATAAAAAACTTAAGGAAATGTTATTCATGCAGTTGTTATTTCACAAATGTTATCACTTGAAATTATAAAAAGCAGTTGCTGAGGATCGGTATCGATAGACGGGTCTGCATGTTTATCTTTGGAATCATATCTTTCTAACAGATATACGACGTACTTTCCCAATATGTAACTGTTCAATAAATTGTTAAAAGTAATTTGAAATGATGGAATCATACTGCTTTCATTTATAAGATAATAATGGAAAATAATGTGACATTTTTTTTCAAAAATTCTTTTTTTTTTTTAATTTATAAATATAAGTAAGAGTAAAAAACAAAAAAAAAAAAAAGGAGAAAGCAAGCGATCCACTTTCCTTGATAGTCAAACTTTTAAGGAAAATGAATCAATTATTTTTGAAAGTGACAAATACACAGCAAGATTCAATTTAACTTTCAGTTGTATATTTCTTTTTAACTTTTTTATTTTAGTTTTCCTTCTGAATGTCCAGGAATATCATAGACATTGTGTCATGATATGAAAGTTACCACAGTTCTGAACAGGCAAAAGTAGTCCTAGAAACTTTCCTAATCGCGAAATTGCTTTAGTCGGTGATAAGCTGATAATTCAAATCAAAGTTTAAAATGCAAAAAAAAATGATTTCAAACATCGATAATCTAACCTATATAAATGTATATGTATTTGCTTACTCAGAATGATGAACAGAGCATTATTTAATCATTACTTTGTTTTAGTTTGGAAGGAGGTACCTGCTTGATTGATGTATTGATCCATCAAGCTTCTGTAGCAGCTATTATTGATAGTACCGTACCAGTCCAACTTTAGTCTGCTACTTAATGCTTTATTTCTCACGATTTTGTAGGTGCATGCATACTTAAGTGTTTTAAGAACCATCACTGTGTTCCAAAAAGTTGTCTATTATTCTCTTTTGACTAGATGATACATGACGAATTGAGTGATGCAGACTATCTGAATACCTGATATTAGTGCTTAAGAAATCCTTAGCCAACCATAAACATAAGCATAAGAGCACGTAATTAAGAAATTATGAAAAATCACTCTAGCAACTGCTCAACTTTCTATAATATAGTGCTAGCTCTATTTCTATTCAAATATTTAATCAAATAAATGATAACTAAAGTTTATTGCTTTTCTGTGATATTTTGTTTTGATTGAAGCTGTAATTTCTTTAAGTTAAAAAATGGAAATATATGAAATGGCAAGTCCTATTCTGATAATTTCTCTCCTGTTTTTGAAAACCTGTTTTATCTACAGCAGCTAAGCTAAATATATCGATAATAAATTTGGTTCATCAAACCATAAATATGTACAGCGGCATACAATATGATACATTTCAGATGAAGAAAAAAGCAAAAAGTACGAATTGAACATAGCGCATAAAACATAATCATATTACTCATATTTAACTCATCTATTTAAATAAACCACATAGAGATGCGTCTTTCTGAGTACATTTAATAAATCTAGATGGATCCATCGAAAACAATCCACTCACAAGATGCTTCTAGTTTCTCTTCATCAAATCATCGGTTAGAATATCGATCATTTGCGCCATCTGGATTCTAATGGCTTGTACACAATAATAAAATGTTGGCATCAAGTAAATTAAAACACTCTCATTGCAACATCATAAATTTATAAATTTCTGTTTTATGACAGTTTATTTTACAACAGAGTCACTATACGACTAAAAATGAAATTCCAAAAAATAAATTCCTCTCCTGACTGATACAAATGCAACGCGCAAACTGTCAAACGATTATGAAGAATCTTTCTAACTCCATTCTACACTGTGATATAGAACTATTCTACCTAGTCCTATTTTGATTCAAATTAGAGTTTTCAACTGCAAAACTTTTTTCTTTAACTGCAAAGTTAATTTAGCAGAAAACGCCAATTTAGGATTAATGAAAGCTGAATGGATTACTAAATGAGCACAACTAATTTTTGTATTTGCTTTTAGAAGACGACATTTGAAAAGCGGGAGCACAGGAAGAAATGTATCGCTTGTTAAATCTATTTGCATAAAATTGTTTCTATTCAACACAGTTGATGAATAAAATTGTTAACACTATTTATTAGCTTTATAACCAACTATATAGGTATTACCGATCAATGAAAAATTTGCTCTTTCAATGTAATATTGCCACCTAAAAGTTTTCCAACCATAAATTTCGATTGTTGGGTTAATTCACTAAGAACAAGCAGAAAAACTCATGTAATCGTGAGATAAATTTACTATAAAGCATTTCATTTCATTGCGTGCAAAAAGGTGACAAATAAAGTGCGAAGCAATACCATCGCAATCTTTTTGTCAAAAAATGAATTGGAATAGATTGCTTAATTCATGATGAGTAAATCAGCCAAGAATTCACATAAGGTAGATTTACATTTTCCTAATGAATATTCTTATTTATTTATTTGTTTATGTTTTAATCTCTACGAACGGTAGTACTATCAAAAGCAATATAGAGGGCCTTACATATCGAAAAATAGTACATGCAGTATTCTCAGCATTCTCTGAATAGAATTATAGAAATTGTAATATGAATACAAGTTGGAGAAAGTCTGAGATTTTCTCAAGTAATTTTTTTGATTTTTCTAGGGAAAAATTTCCTCATTGTTATGAAAATTTCATAAAGTCTAAATCCAGAAAAATATTTTAGAAAAAATTATGGTTAAATGAGAAAGAATGAAGCAACAAACATCTGTTTGTAAAAAGATTCATTAGATGAATGGTTTGCGAATGATGTTCATCTGTTTGTTGCAGCAGTTAAGATTGCTATAACCTGTACAAACCTGGTAGAAACGACGATATAATAATACAATCAAATTCGCAATATTTTATACACAGGATAAAAGTTGAAGTACAGTATAGATTACAAGAATCCCAAAAAATTTAGAAGTAAAAAGTACATGGAAGAGACAGATGAAAGTGAGCTGATGACGAACATGTTAACAAAAAAAATCTGTCGCCGCAGGACCAGTAAAGCGTACTGATAAAAGAACGCCACAACATCCTTTCATCACTTCCCTATTCTCATCCTTCTTTTTTTTCATTCTTCTTCTTTGATTAATTAAATTTCGCTGAATAAAACTAACATGATCTTAATTAAAGACTGTGTTTTCTTATAAAACTAGCTCATCAGCAGTTTTACTAAACAATCAACCACTTTATTTCACACTGCATTTTTCATATTTCACTTAGTTCCAAATTTCGTAAATTTCGAAGTTTGTTAAACTAATAAATCGAAAGTAAACAAATTAATTAATATTTAATTCTTATAGTTAATTATACCTAAATTTTCACAATTGCTGCCGAACTCAGAATTGAGTTTTTTACCTGGACGATTGATGATATTGTGAAGTAGGCATAAAGACAGTTGTCAGTTCACCGAATTCCATAGATTTTTCCATTTTATGACTTTTCCAATAATTGAAATCCATCCACTCCTTTTATACGTACTGAACTTTAATGAATAATAAAATTATCTGTTAGAAGTCAATTTGCAGATGATCATTTGAAAATATTCAGACGAAATGCAATAGATTTCGTTGGAATATTAAGAACGAAATTATTTACACTGAGCTGCTATGCTTATCACTATGATGAGATTATAAATTCCAGATTCAAGTCTGTTCGGGATAAGTAACATCATAAGATATAATTCGTGATGTTGAGAAATATTTAACAATGTCAACTAAATTAAGGAATCCTCTTGTATCACCTATATTCTAGGTTTATTTAATTTCATTAAAAATACGAAAATAAACAACTAAGTCATAGTAACGAAGATCAATGCCTCAAAAGAAATAACCATTGTGCTTCCTCAAAAAGGTTGTCATCGCATATATTGGATTATGGCTATAATTAACTACTGTCATCTAAGCTTTTCTAAGCTTAGAAAAGCTAAGTCAAAAAATATCTACAAATCATACATAATTCTGGGAATCTGAACTATATAGATCAAGAAAAGATAAAGGTTGTGATAACACCTTTATTAAGAGAATTAGACGAGAAGCGGTTTGATATGATGATAGTTTCAGGTAGGAGTCAATGACCCAAGTTTTATGTAAAGTGATTGTAATTAAAAAAGAAGGAGAGAAAAGAGACACTCTAAAACACAGTTACTAGACATCAAGTAAGGCAGAAGCTGTGATAAGGAAGTACCCTGCCAAGGAAGTGAAAAAATGAACATTAAGTGATAGAATCACTATGATACCAAATGATATTAGTAATGGAAATCAATTAATTTGATGGAAACTGATATGCTTTCTTGTATTGTATGTCTGTTTGTTTGTTCGTCTGTTATGTGGTGATAACTGCAGGACTACTGTTCAAACGATAGATAGGAGTGTACATATCAGTTATAGCTGATATGATTTAATATCAATGATAAGGATTGTTTCCGTAGACTGGACCAAACGCAATAATACAAATAATTAGTCAAAGGCATCAACAACCAATTTGAGATTCCTCTTTTCTATAACGGGAAACGATTTATAAATCGTTTCAAAAATTTTTACAGTATGATAAAGACTAAATGATTCCATTTATTGTCTTGTTAAACCGGTTTATCGAAGGGATAACAACATTATATCCTCTGATCTGTGCTACTGGTCTGAATAGTAAATTATTAACTGTACGGCAACAATATGAATTGCCTAAACTGCTAAAATTACGGCCGAAATTTCATGGCTTCCTAAATGCAACAACAGAAGTGGTTGATTTTTAGGGCGTCGCTTCATTTAAAGAATGGGAAGCAGGAAATGGAAAATGCACAGCGTTGTTATTAATACACGGTGCAGCCAGCCCCTATTATCATTGGGAATTTTGTAAATAACTCCTAAAAATGAATTCAGGGAAAACGAATTTTCCTCCGCTGTAAAATAGTTGAACAAGACATAACAAAAGAGTACACATAGAAATGTGTGCAAACAATCATAATATTCTCCATTTTGAACAAATAGTATCATTAGTTACGTTAAGGAACTTGATTGAAAAAGAAAAGAAAACTTGGTCAAAAAGTGAAGCTAGAAGTGAACAAGTCCGTTAGCAGATAAGATTGAAATAATCCTAGAACGATTATGACCAAGTCCTAGCTATAAATTGCCTAGTACGATGAAATGATGATCCAAATATAATTTATTAAGTAGCTATTAATGCTAACTGTATAGATGGTAACTATTTACAATCTTGTTGAATGATATCGCAGTAAAAAAGCCGAAACAAAAAATGCGTAACTATCTGTTAACATTAACTTTGGCTGATAAATCTGCAGTTAGAGGTAAGCATATAAATATGAGAAAACAGATACCACTTTTTCTCAGAAAATATTGTTACTTTCTCAAATAGAATTTTTTTTGTCGTTTTACTATTCTTCAATCCTTATCATTGAGAAACCAAATGTGGTCGATCAAGCATATCTCTTACATCTTTTATTATATATGAAATTTTGAACACTTCACACTATTCATTTCGTTGAAAAGTCTCTTTGATAATGTTGTTCACATTTATTCTGTTTGTTTCGTCTTCTTGATAAATCAAAAATAATAGATTTTTTGGGCACATATTACCAAAATTTATAAATATATATGACCCAAGTCCAATAAATATATATATATTAGTTTGTGACGAAAAACATTGGACGAATTAAAAAAGGACCTCAAAATGTTTTTGATTTTTTAATATTTGTGGAATGAGGAAAAAATAGAGAAATCCGCAGAGCTATTACTTTTCATAATTACTTATTGTAAGTATTTTCCTGTTCTAAAAGGTTGGTAAAATTAGTCTTTGTTTTCCATAAAGTTTAAAAATAAGCAAAATAACAAGATTACTATTTGCGTATTACAAATTTTTAGAAGAAGAGGAAGAGTAAAAAAGGTAATGGGAACCTTAAATTTCGATGAAAAATGATTTAAATGCCTCTTTTTCTTTTATCTCATCTACTCTTTTATTATAACACTGAAACTAAACGCTACTCATCAAACTTGTTTACTATAAATAAAACTCGAGTAATTTTAAAAATTAAATTAGGCAGCCTATTTTAATGTTCATAGAAAATTCTTATTCTTATCAGCTAAGACTTGTACACACATTAGCGGCATTTATTTCTCGTTCATTAATGAATTATTTTTGACTTAACAATTTACAAATTTGGTTGGAAGTTACAAAAAGCACTAACTCAAAATTTTTCAATTAATTGAGAAATGTCGAAGGAAGAAAGAACATTAAATATGGAGCCATCATTTCTTTACTGTCATCTGGATACCTCAAACTAGTTTATTTCATTTGTAATTCTTTCAGAAATATACAGGAAAGCAGCCAAGATGGAGAATGAAGGAAAATAAAGTAAGACGAAATAAATTTTTACAGTGAAACAAATTATCATTATGTTAAAACAATTATTTCTAAATTAGAATGGATGGAGTAGAATCTGGTCGAAAGATTTCAGATAGTTATTTGAACTTACTGCTATTAACATACGCAAGCAACAAAAATCTGTTTTATTACACAATCTGTCATTCTAAGAATTAGATGATATGTAAGGTGAGGTGTTAATTAC